CACATTCTTCACATCTGTAGGGTTTCTCTCCAGTATGAGTCCTTTTATGATGTCTAAGATATGAGGCGTGGTTAAAGGACTTACCACATTCTTCACATTTGTAGGGTTTCTCTCCAGTATGAATTCTGTAATGAGTCTCAAGTGATGAGCGCGTAGTTAAGAACTTGCCACATTCGTCACATCTGTAGGGTTTCTCTCTAGTATGAGTCCTTTTATGACAACTAAGATGTGAGGCGTGGTTAAAGGACTTACCACATTCTGCACATTTGTAGGGTTTCTTCCCAGTATGAATATTTTTGTGGCATCTAAGATTTGAGGCTTTGTTAAAATACTTGTCACATTCTTCACATTTGTAGGGTTTCTCCCCAGTGTGAATAATTTTATGACTTCTAAGGCTTGAGCCATTGCTAAAGGATCTGTCACATTCTTCACATCTGTAGGGTTTTTCCCCAGTATGAATAGTTTTATGACGTCTAAGATGTGAGGCCCTGGTAAAGCACTTGTCACATTCTTCACACCTGTAGGGTTTTTCCCCAGTATGAATATTTCTATGACTTCCAAGACTTGACCTTTGAGTAAAGCACTTGTCACATTCTCGACATTTATATGGTTTCTCCCCAGTATGAATATTTTTATGACTTCTAAGACTTGATATTTTAATAAAGCACTTGTCACATTCTTCACATCTGTAAGGTTTTTCCCCAGTATGAATAGTTTTATGGCTTCTTAAGGGTTGAGCCATTGCTAAAGGACCTGTCACATTCTTCACATCTGTAGGGTTTTTCTCCAGTATGAATTCTGTAATGACTCTTAAGTGTTGAGCACATAGTACAGGACCTGCCACATTCTTAACATTTGTATGGTTTCTCTCTGGTATAAATATTTTTATGATTTCTAAGATAGCAAGCCCTGGTAAAGCACTTGTCACATTCTTCACATTTGTAAGGTTCTTCTCCATTATGAAATCTGTAATGACTCTTAAGTATTGAGTGTTCAGAAAAGGACATGCCACATTCTTCACATTTGTAGGGTTTCTCTCCAGTATGAATAGTTTTATGATTTCTAAGATTTGAGGCATTGGTAAAGCACTTTTCACATTCTTCACAATTGTAGGATTTCTCTATATTATGAGCTCTCTGCTGCCTTCTAAGACTTGAGTTCTGAAGGAAAATGAAAAAGAAGAGTGTATTTCGATATGGAGAATAAGGCTGAGGTGATCGCACATTAAGAGTTATATAAAGAACATGTAATAAGCATGAATGAAATTTGGAACAATATTGACAAACATTCAAGGGAACTAAAATAAAAATCTATGAGTTGAAATCAATAGTAAAGTGAGAAAATTTATTCCAAGACAGCCGTATGTAATTTGGCCCTAATCACACATGGTCTCCTGGATTTGGGGAGAGCTAAAGTATATGATCTGGGGAAGGCTAGGAAGACAAGGCATGACCCATGCTGGGTAAAGGCTTTC